TTTGTAGAACCAATAGACCAGCAGAGCTACAAACAGAGGATCTCGTCGTCTTCTGATCAGCTACAGAACCCTCAGTCTGATCTGGATCCTAATGTTCGTGAAAACCAAATTACAGAAATGTCTGCAGCCACTGAAACGCAGCAACTTTCCTTTGCGGAGGTGATGCAGCTCGTTCAGGAGGGCAAAGAAATCCCTGGAGTGATGAAGGTGGACGTCCAACCAAGCAACCAGAGTCCCACTCCCTCTCAAATGCAAAGAGTACAGAAACCCTGGGAAACGACATCCTCATGAGAAAAGCTTTACTTGCAGACTGCTGACTGAGAAATGTGGAAATCCTGAAACTGATTCATTTATGGACATAATTAATAAAAAATTTGACGTTTTTCCAACACCGCGCAGCCACAGTGGAACAGTGAAAGACTCAAGGTTATAAGCGTCTTTTTCTTGCATCTGCTGATTCATGTTTGCCAATTCATTGGTGAATTCAGCTGCTGTGCCTTCAGATCACATGAACGCATGCAATTCATTGTAAATGATTTCTTAATAAATATGTATATTTGTTTTTCATCATTGTGTCATTTTTATTTTATTTATTTATCCAGCATTTTATTGTCATTACACTGTCACAAGTACAGCTCAATAAAATTCACTCTGCATTTAACTGATCCCCTTGGGGAGCAGTGGGCTGCCATTTGTGGCACCCGGGGAGCAGTGTGGGGTTAAGGGTTTTCCTGAGGAACCCAGAGCGGAGATTTTTTGGGATCGAATCGGGTACTTGCAATCTTCTCAGAGCACTAACCACTAGGCAACACTTCTTCCCAGTTTTGTAAAAATGGAGGAAAAAAATAACATATCAGGGATTAGTTAATTTTGGCTTTTAAAAAGCTGTATTGTTGATCTCTAGCATGGAAAAAGTGAAGTTAAATAAAAAGCATCACCTTTTTATGATGAATCCCACACATTTATTGTTTAACATTAAAAATGAACTTGCTGGTTCCTACGTTACTTTAAAACACAGATGAACAGTCGACACGTAACTGAGAAAACCAGTTAACAGAGATGACGTTCACACTGAGGCTCCTAAAGGACACAACTAAAATAAAATTATACACAAGTTAGCACCATCAGTACAGCACCATCAAACACAAAAAAGGTGTCATTTCAACATAGCCCTTCCAGAACAATAACATGTTTGTTAGACACGTGAAACGACAGACTCACCCCTGATTATGCAGCATTACAGTAGATAACACGTTATATGTAGTGACCAAAAACACAAAAAGTAGAATTTCAGCTCACAGGTCGCAGTTTCAAACTATAAAATGTTTCAGAAATCCTTTATATCTGTAGAATTTAAAGTAAAACATGAATTCAATGACTGAAGAAGAAAACAACCGGTAATGAACGAACCTGCTGAGTTAGTTTTCCTTGGAGCATAAAGCAAAACAACAGTCCTCAGTTGTTGTTGCTAGGGTTAGTCTGGAAATGTACGTAGTTGGATTTGATCATTTTATGGTTTGAATCGATATGAAAAAAAAAAAACATCTGGAAAATATGTGTGGAAAATTTGAGAGTCCGGACTTTATTCCTTTTTTTTTGTTATTTAGGATAAAACAAACAATCTGAGTCTTTAACTGGACCTATGGTTCTATAACTGGGTCTGCTTTAGATTCCACTCCAAACATTAAATCCATTAATTTGGGGTGACTTTTAACAAACATAAAGAGATCATGGATATAACTAGATAATAACTGAATGCAGTTTTGACACGTCTAAGTGTGGCAGTGATTAAACTGGAGCTGATGGAAGTTTTTCCAGATACCAAAACCCTTCAGCACACTGATAGATAAAAAAACAACAACTTTACTTTACGTTGTGAAATGCACAGAAAAAAAAGCACAGCTGGGTAAATATTTCCCACCGAAATCCCCAAATTTTTAAAAAAGTAAAAAAATCTAGAAAACAGTCTAATAAGCTGGAATTAGGACATTAAAGGCACTGATTGAAATCCTTTCAAATGGTATAAATGTCGAAACGTAGCACCGTTAAAAATAAAGCAGCAGCGACAACCGCTGCCTGCTCCTCCATCTTCATACTTTTGGTATTTTAGCTTAAGGGGGATCAGTTATTTATCAGACACTTTTTAAGTTTGTATTATTTAAATCTGCACTTCCTGTTCCAACATTTTTTCTTTCCAGTATACAGCAATCAAGGATCGATTTAAGGCATTTCTATCAAAACATGCTTTCTATTGTTTTGGGTTTTTTTCATCATTTCTCTGTGTACCGAACCAAGGAGAATTTTTTTATGAGCCAAATCTCAATGAACATTGAAGCTTAAAAGAACAAAATGACTTGTTTTCCACGGTTTACGGGTAGTTTGAGTCATCTAATCAATAACACAGAGTTAACAAGACAGAATAAGATTTACTGATTCTAACTCAGCTAAAACATAAAAAACGCTGAATGTTCACTGAGGACATGAAATCCAAATATGTAGTATCTGTTTAAGAAGCAGCATGATGGAAAATAGTTCAAAATCTTCCATCTTTCTGATGATCCACCTTAAAAAATGAAATGTTTTCCCATATTTGTTTTTCCCATAATTTAACTGGATTTTTATCTACGGTAATTTCAGTTGTTTTCTATGTAAACCTACGAGGTAAATTGGACTTTATAACTGCTTTAATGCACCAAAGCTAGGCCACTTTCATCAAATTCATATCCTCGAATCAAATAAGAAAACAGTTACTCTAAGCTTCATTTCTTTGTTAGATAGTTATTACAGGCTCCATTTGAAATATTAACATTCAGTTAATTCTTCTATAAAAAAAAAAGATCCTTGAAAAAAAAAATGCTACAATGGAAGATTGTTTTAGAGGAAATCGTGGCTCAACAGTGACATTAAGGCGGTTTACAAAACAACATATTAAAATGATTAAAAACTAAAAATTAGAAACAATCAATTCGAACATGTCTGACAATCAGATCAGCATCAAGTTTCTGTTTAGAAGTAAAAAAGATGTTACATAAAGATTACAATGAAAAGACAGGAAAGCAACGTAATGCACTTTAAATATTATGAAACCTGAAACTGCAGATTTAAAGTCAGTTCTGAGGTAGAGAGTGAGGCCTGTGCCCCAAAGTGAGCTTAGTGGTTCTTCACACCAGATTAAGACCATGAGAGAAACTGGTCCTGATAAGGTAAGAACACAGTGGAAAATCCATCACACACACTGGTTCCCAAATCTAATACGTCTCTGTTAAAATGGCAGGTTTTATGTTCCTGTAAGGTTGAACTGAAAATCAATCTAATCTGATAAAGTGTCAAATAAAAAATGAGGCAGGGGCACCTTTAAGACGCTGCTGAAGCACCTTGAAGATTTCTTTGGCCCTGGAGGGTTTTATTCACAGCTTTAGGTAACTATAATGGGTGGATAGAGAAGGAGAGACATGAAACAAACAGGATGGCTGAGAGGATGATTACAGCATCTGTATATGATGCACCTTCCCCACTGCTATACCACGCAGCATCTTTCAGATTCAGCATCCAGTCCATCTTTCTGTCTCGTAACTTGGCAGTATTTTGCCTCTCTACCTTGGAAAAGATTTCTGATACTTTCACCAGCATGTTAGACCCTCCCTGACACGGTTAACAGTGACCTTGTTTCTTTGTAACATCTTCTTCCTGACTAAATAATGTGTTGGATGAGATAATCTTTCTGTTTTTTAACCACTTTGCAAACTGGTTTTAGAAAATGAAAGCATAAACTGCTGAACTGTACCTTATTTCCATTGCCTAAAGTGATGGAAAGTCTACTCAGGATGACTAGTGAAACAGAATCAAATGATCAGTTTAACTAAGTTAATATTCATGGAATTTCAGACTATTTCAAAGGAAATCTTAACTATTTGTCACGTACAAAAGGTATTACAAAATTATTACAACACAAAAATCTGTTTTTTTGTTTTTTTTTAGCATTTAGGCGTACGGTTAAAGCTTCACCTCAGGTTTTATACAAAGTGTTTGGAAAAGGCTCGGAGCAATACTGTGTTGTTGCCTTCAGAACTAGAGTTCTTCCAAATTTGGGTGTTCTTCCCATTTTATCATAAATTAAAGAGTTTATTGTAGAGTTTAGCGAAGTCTTAATTTGGAGTGAAGGGACCGCAGTTAGCCAACCACAAGCTCAGACACTGAGTTTAAAAATGTTCTCCATGACGAATCACAGGACTAAGCTGACAAACTTAGCTATAAACTGTAATTTAAAATGTAAAATGCATAAATAACATCAGTTTTTTCCCCTCAACACTGGCATAAAAAAGGACAACAGCTAAAAAAGGCTGACATTTCCTGCAGCAGATCAGGTCAGTGAAGAAACCTGCTACATGTTCACACGTCCAGCAGGTACACATTATTAGGCAACAGTAGGAATTTAGAAATAGCTTTTTGGTTACATGATTCATCTAGGCTTTCCTGAAAAAAACTTCAGGTTAAAAAGTATTTCATGTTGCTGTGTTAATTTCAGTTTCTGTATTTATAGACAAAAAAGTAAAAAAGTTAAAAAGATGTGTTTTC